TTATTTATTTATTTATTTATTCATTTATTTATTTATTTATATATTTATCTTGTATAAAGACTGAAAACCTGATGTAATATCTTCTGGTTCCACTAATCCAGTGCTCAACATTATCCACCAGTATAAAATAAATTTTTTTTAGCATTTAAAGAACGTTGAATTCTGCAGTAGTATTTCTTCTAAATAAGTAATTTTAAAAGAACTTTAATTTTCCAAATAAGCGAACGGTTAACCTATGATCAATTAGTCGACAAATTGGCAAGGGGACCATTGAAAAGATCCCAGACTGTAAAATGTTCATCTATTTGAGAGTGCCATTTTCTCAGCGATGTGTATAAATTTAACCAATGATTCCAACAGGCTTATAAATACAGATTCATGAAGGCTGATATAAGTTGACGGGTAAGTAAGGAAGCGAAATTAGGAGGACAGAGGGCGGGATTCGATGGGGGACCAGAAATTGGGAGAGAGGTGAAAAGGCGAAGTGAATCTTGAAAAACTTGAAGTCACTGAAAACAATACTAGCCTGACTGACAGGACATTCGTGAGATAGAGCATACATAATTTGCATTTGTTACTGATAATTCGTCCTTAAATTGAGGGAAAGAGGCTTCGGTAAGCTACGTAAAATATATATATAAATTGTTGTCAACAGCATCGATGACAAAGTTTAAATAAGAGGAACAGTTACTGTCTTATAATGTCATATGTATATAATAAAATCACAGCGGTGGAGAAGGAACGAAAAAAAGCGATCTGTAGACAAATAGCACTTATAACTTAGCATTATAAAAAAAAGCAAAGCAGTCATCGTTTTCGCTGGTATTTCAATTAGCATAGAAATGGGGGAGCAGGGAGACTGGAATGCCAGAAGAAAAAAAGTTTAGTAAGAAAGATAAAATTGTTAAAATATGAAAGTAAGAAACAAGGTTAGCAATAAAACAGTGTTGCTGCGATGCGTAAAACGGGCAACTGTTAAAAGGATTATACGCTTGGAAGTTGTGAGCAGAAACTGCGCAGTTGGTAATCGGAACGACAGCAAATTGAAGCTCCATATTGTCACCAGTATAAAATTGTTCGTGTTTTCAGTTTAATCTGTTCAATTTCATTTTTTCTTTTTAAGTAGACTTATCTAGTTATTGGTAGCCGTTTCCGCCGATATAGGTAGACAGTTGCTGTTGTGTGCAGATGAAGAGAATTCGTCATTGTCCGTATTTCTGAAGATATTTTGTTTTGCTATAGATTAACAATTTACTTTTTTAGCTCCATAAAATGGGCACTTTGGCAGCTACGAAGCAATTGATTTCTCGAGTTTCACCGAAAACATCTGCGCTGTTTGTGTGCGATATGCAAGAAGCATTCAGGTGTCGTTTAAAAGTAATAGCCGCAACAGAATCTTTACGTCTCTCTTTATGGAATTGATCCCTTTAGTGATTTTTCCTCACCTCAGACTTGGAATCTCAATCCAGGACAGCGGAAGAAAGTTTTTCTGTAGTGGTTAGGTTACTTTACAGTACTTACAGCTACTAGGCCAGTATTTCTCAGGGAAGGTGATCGAAGATGCGTAGAAGGCGATTAGGGCTCAGGAGAGTGGGATATGACAAAAAGAGGCAGTGCGAGTTTTAAGGAGTAATACGAGACAACGAAGTGTCCTGGATCTTTCTTTTCCATTTAATGGGCAGCAGATTTAGAAAATTTTTTCAGAGCTGACTTTATAAATTCTAAAAATTCTATAACAGAAGAATGATGTGGCTTTGTGTTGTGAAGAAAAACTAAGGCTTGATTTACTTCGAATGATGCAGTTAACAAAGTGATAAAAATAATCATAAATTAGCAAATAATTTGTTATGGGAAACAGAGGCAGAATTTCTGTTTAGGGAGGGGAGCTACAGGTGAAAAAATTGAAGAAATACTGCTCTAAGTTAGTTGTTAGGTTCTGCAGACTTAATCTTTGTTTTTGAGGTCTCTAGTGTGTATTCCTTAACAACCTAAAAGGTTTATCCTGTCTGATTGGTAACTGAAAACAATTTTCAGAGTTCATGAATATAAATTTAAGGAAGTAACTGAGGTATGCAAACGTCTTATAAAATGTGCAAGTCTGATGGATATGAAAATTCTTGCAACTGAACAGAATCCACGAGGTTAGTACATTTTACAAATCAATAACTTTTTCTTGTCCACTGATCCATATAGTCATATAGGAAAGCGGTTTGAAGTATTTCTTTTTGCAAAAAAGCACCATCTGTTGTTTTTCTGACAACTTGTCAATTTCAGGTTTGGGTCATACAATAAAAGAATTAGATTTGGCTGCATACAAAATACCAGTTTTTGAGAAAACTAAATTTACGATGTGTATACCGCCGGTGGAGAAATTTTTTGGCAGTCAGCTTGAATCAGTTATCCTGTGCGGCATTGAGGGACATGTCTGTGTGCTTCAGACTACGCTTGATTTTCTAAAGAAAGGCATACACGTCCATGTTGTTGCTGATGGGATTACTTCACGTACACAAACAGACAGGTTTGTACACAAAAACTATCCTTCCATTTACTCACTTCACAAAATCTTAAGCTCTGCAACTTCAAGTCTTTTTTTTTAATTTTTTAGAGAATAAAGGATTTTGAAGTTTTCCGTAATCTCAGTATGATAATTTTGAGAGTCACTTTCTGGTTTTATCAAATATGCGGCGTCCCACTTCTGGATAACCTAAAGCGGGAGCATACTTATTATACACCTAACTTGCAGATATTTCGGTTTACGACAAATGGAAAGAGCTGGAGCAGTTGTACGATCTAGTGAATCAGTTATGTTTGAATTACTTGGTGGTAGTGACCATCCAAAATTCAAAGAAGTTCAACAACTAGTGAAAATTCCGTCACCAGATACTGGTCTATTGCCTCACTTTGTGTAATGAGGAGCAAAATGGTCTAGCGACGTTAATACACAAACGCAGTACTTTAGAAGTGGCATATAGTTAGTGAAACAAAAGTTTTACTTTTTTCCGCTTTTCGCGTTTCCATCCAATCGTATTCGCTGTTACGGACGGTAAAAAATGCAGCCACAAAATCAAAGGATCATTTTTTATGGTCTGTGGAATAAAATTTGCTCGTTGAAATGATGAATTGTTGTTCTTACGTGGAAAAACTGGTCTATCTAATCCTTTTAAAGAATAAAAAGGAAAGAAGTTGTACTGCAGAGTGACAAATGGACAGAGGTCCGGCAAAATTAAACCGAAGGCTACTGAACATTTAAATGCAGTACGGTATTATCACGACATCCGATAGTATTTGGACATCTAGTCGTCGAGAAACCACGACTACTGTTTCCTGGTTGCTACTAGCAGGTGTTTGCTACTTATACAACAAAAATGACTCGAGTATTTCATGACGCTATTCAGATGCGTGGCTTCAAAGCGGCTGACAGGACCTACCATGCAAGACCAGGAATGGCACGATAACGGGACAATAAAAACTCTTCGCCTTAGTTTCCAACTAGAAATTGAAAATCTGCTTAGAATCTTTGAAAACAATAGGGTTTTTCTCGACCTTCCAGTGGCACACCTCTTAGAAAAAACCGAAGTAAGAGAAAGACAATTCCACTGTTTATATGGCAAAAAATCATTAGTCTAAGACTAAAAAGTAGGGTCTCTTTAAGACATGAACATGCTCTCGGCATGATAGCCTTAAGCATTTAAAATACACTTACACCAACAATTCAATTAACAACAACAACAACAGCAACAGAAATAAAAATAGACAATAGAAATGAAACCAGACAAATCACTTTGAAACGCATGACTATGTCAGATTGCAGTATTATTAATTGCAAGTGATTCCCTAACTTCAATAAGACAGTAGAGAAAGAGTACATACGCAAATTAGATGGATCACTGTTGTAAAAATGAACATCTCCAATAAAGCAAATACTAGCGCAACTTTTGCTCGTCATGTCATCGTCTTTCGAATATTTTAAAAGGAAAGTTGCGTACAAACAACATTGCCAAAGTAATAAAAATAAGTAGTTGGCAGAACTACTGCTATTAAGATCATGGCTCGGGAGGTTCACAGCGGAAGCCCGCGAGCATCTTTGATAGTTTCACAGGACCGAAAACCTTTGCATATATTTCCACGGCATTTACAGCGGGCTCCACATACTCAACTGTTTCTTCAGGTAGTTCTAAAGACCATACCCAATATAAAAATAGTTCAGAAGCTTCATTATTAGTAACAACTAATTCCTAAAACAATGGAGACCGCACCAACAAAGCCATTCCAACAGTACGGAAGTTTTGAGCGGTGTGCAAATGGCAGTCGACAGAAAGTTTCTTAGTAAAGCAAGAGAAAGGTGAATATTGGAGACAAATTAATATTTAATAAACGACCCAAAAACTCACCGGAGGAGAATGGGGAAAGACGTCTGCAAGTGCATTGTTTTTTCCGCAATATTTTTACACATCCGCATTTTGACAACAACTTTAAGATGTCAAGAAGCATACGAGGTTGGAGTGCAAATGCAAAGCGCGACCTGATATCTTTTAATAGAATCCCAGGTTTGTCAATGATAGTGAAAAGTACGCCTTCAGACATCCACCTATCAGAAAACAAAGTTTTTATAAGAGAAAAATGGAGCGAGAAGCCGAGCACAGAGTTAATCTCTGCCCCTAAAAAAATGTGCACAGGCTATTCGTCAGTGGCGATAGATATATCAGGTACAGCTGGCAAAAAGTAACCTCACAGTGGGATGATAAACTTCCCCAGTAGGTGTCATCCACGGAGTTGGGAAAAATGCTACTTTTTCATTATGAACCATCCAACAACTGCTGCAAGAAGGAAGTACATAACGATAACAGTCAATCCCAACTACAAGGATTTGAACTGCTACAGCGAGCTCTTGCAAAAACAGCTCAAGTTGTTGTTCCTTGACTTCAGTTATTTCCTTGAAAAAGAGATAAAAAAAATCAAAATAAAGCAAAGTAGTGGGAGATTCAACGTTTTCTTTTTCGGAAAAAAAGAGATAAAATGCATATATGACACAATGAAACTAAATGAAAGCAAACGTCAATGGAAGTTAGTAGACCACTTACCAACAACTCGTCAAGCGAAGCACCGATAATTCCAGCTTCGCTAATTGCTGCATAAACAGACCTTAAAGCAGCTCTCTGTGAAACTGGATAACTTAAAATAAAGTCTTCAAAAGCAAGTGAGCCAAATTTTTCTCTAGGAATGGCCTGAAACAATGTTACTGTAAGGAAGCAAAAAAACACGCCTTCACTTCAACCCGTCCCAGTAAAATTTCAGTAACAATTTAGGAGCAAGTACAAAAACAAGTCCGTTAAGTTTAAAAAATATTTTGGAATCAATAAAACAATCTAAGTACCTCACCGTCAAAAAAAGCAGCAAGAAAATTTTTTAAAAAACGATTATAATGATATCTACGCATCAAAGTAGTCACGAAATATTGTGAAAAAAAAATGAAATAACCGTGGTCAGTGATTCTAGCAGCTGAATCCCGTTCTCGGTACAGCCTTCCAACTCCTCAACTTTGGAAACCAACACTTCCATGCTTTCAATGCGCAAATCAGTTTTTTCCAAGCTTCGCAACTGCTTTGTAGCATTTGCGGCTTGTTTTTCGTCTTGTGAAGAAATCTAAAACAGCGCAAAAATAGCTAAATAAAAATACTTCAATGACAATTATAGTATCATTAGCGTAACGAGGTACCTCCGCAGATGCGTGTTCAAACGTTTTAATAATGGTTTCTGGCACTGTTACTTTAAGTGAACCCTAAAATTAAAAACGGTATTATCAAAAACATAACGACTTTAGAAAATCCTTGCTTAAACTACAATAGGAACGCATGATTGACTTAACTTGTTAGAAAATGCATTTAGCGAGGCGACAATTATCCCAGGGCTATTTTCGTCGGTGAATGGTGTAGACGCATTAACTTGGTTTGCAGCCTCATTGGACATGTCAACGATATCACTATGAAAACGGTGGTTGAAAAAGTGTCGGAAGCTATAAAAGAAACCACTACAAATTATGACAGAAAAAAATACAATAGAAAAAAATTAGGTGCGGGAGTGGTTAGAAAGAGAAAAAAGATAATTTTTGCTTACTAAAAGGACAGAACAGTTTGACCACGAGGAGTGCACGAGACGTCGTCTGAGGCGCGCATTTTAGCGAGAAGCCCGTCAACTCTGAGTTGTTCGAGAACACTGGACAAGGAACAGGCGCTAACTTGTTCCACTATAGTGTCCATGCGAGAATCATTCAAATCCTTTTCAGAGAGGAGCATCGCCTACAAGTGAAAATTGTTCTGTAATGCTACAGAGACAGAATACAAATAAATTCCAAAAAATTCGCACCGTTACAACATTGAAAGCGACGCAGTGGCGGATCTGTTCAATAGTTGTAGGTTTACTAGAGCGAACGGGAAATGTGGCCGACCGAAGAACTTCTGATGTCACTTTCACTCCTCCTTCTGCTAATTTCTCGTCGAAAACTTTATCTGATACTTCTGCTGGCGGAACCCCTTTATCTTCCCTAGAAACAAAAGCGCCTTTTAGTTTTACGAGAAAAACAACTAGATCTGATATTATCAACCGAAATGTAGCAAATAATTTGATTTTTGAAACAATTCAATACTCGCTCGTCCTTCAAATAACCGCGCTGTTTATAGAAAAGCCAAAACAACAAGGAATTTCAAATGTGTAAAGATTTCGTCGAATTTTAAATTCTAAAAGACTTTTTACTAGCAAAACCCAAATAATAAAAATACACTATTAAGCACCAGTTCAAAAACCAAATTCACGAACATAGCTAAGTTCCTATTAGCAGCTTCAAAAGCTTTATAGAAGAACTGTCGCTTCTCAATAGGCCCCCAATTAGGTGCGGAAGCAAGTTGAGCTCTCAGATCTCTCATCTCCTGAAAGATTGGTTAGACAATAGTAAACGAAGAGCTAAAAACAGAAAAAAATCAAACCTGAAATGACGCTAGATTCTTCACTATTTGTCTCAATAATCCAACCCTTTGTGGTCGTACCATTTCCCGAACTCCGGCAGCCATTAATGACTGTACCGTTTTATTTCGAGCCTCCTTAAAAAAAATTTAGATAAATTAAATGACATATAATCTTCAGTGTATCAAGTATTAAAGAGAGGATGCATGGAAAAAACAGACTGTTAAAGAGTTTCTAATTCAAAAAGACGAAAAAGACCTATAAAATAAAAAACTGCTCAGAAATTTGTTTCCTTTTTCTCTGGCATTTCATTACAGAGGCTTAAAAAATCAGCTAAGTTCCTGAATAGAAGAATAACTAAAAGCGTAAACGATCAATAGATAAATCAGATTCATAAAACAAAGAAGGCCTACTGGAACGTATGCATGCATAATGTCGCGTAGAACTGTTGGATCAAGCCAAAATCGGTAAACAGGATTTAAAAAGAAACCCACAGAACGAATGAGGAGGAGCTGAAATACGAAGACAAAATAAATCTTTACAAAATATGACAAAAACTGTAACCTGCGGGAGTATATGGAATTCACGTACTGCAGAAGTGTCACCAGAGTGTAGTTCCAAATTTTTAAAAGCTTGAAACAGGCATGTGAGACCTGCTATGACCTATTATGACAGTTTCTTAGTAAAAATAAATCTATAAATTAATGTTCACCATGTCGCGCTCCCTGTTACTAAAGCGAGACCGAAAGTGTAACCGAGATTTTGCAGACAATACATCCAGCTCATCTATAACCCGTTTACCACGGCCAGACTTACATCCTTTCTCAATTTTCTGGCGAAGAGGCTTTTTACGCGTCTGTCCCTTTCGTTCAACTGCGCGAAGCTTATGAGATGGGCGTAATACAGTATCTTTGACTTTGTTTCTTCAAAAGTTATATAATCAGAAAGTGTGGGTAAAAAAAGACGACAACCCAGACATAGTTTCAACATTATAGACATGTGACTTCATTTCAAACTAATGCTACGTCTCAAAAACTTTCACAAAAATTCCCGAATTTCTCTGACTCCTCACAACTTATTTCACAAAAAAGTATCTTACTTAAAACAAAGAAAATTTATGGTTAAAAAATAAACACTCAATAAGACAATTATCAACATACATTTTCCAAACCCATGAGTCTGAAGGTAATAAGGATTTCAAATAAGAATTCCAAGCCCTTTCCAGATGTCGTACTCTTTTTTCGACTTCTACTCTGACTCTTTCAACAGATCGACGCCAGTCGGCCACAAACCAGTCGATGTATTCGTGAGGACGAATATTTATATCCCAGTGACGTTTAAGATGACTAGATAGAAAGGAATTTAAGAATCTGTTGTGAAACGAATGACTGTCTAGTAAGCCACTCTGTTTTCTAAGATAAAAGCTAAAAAGCAGCATATATCTGAGCACTGTTTCGTCCATAGTTTATTGTAGTGCACGAGCAAAGCACTAAGAACCCCCGATACTACCACATTAAAATGATACAAACGTACATGAAGAATGCTGAATCGAACCCGGCACAACCGTCATGGGGTGGGACTGGCGAAGCAGTTTCCGAAAAATCATCGAACAACTTGTATATTTTCGACTTGTCGAAACAACCTATTGCATATTTCTTGAACCTCAGTGTATCTTCGTTCTAAACATTGACTTCAATTTAGGAGTGACGAGAAATCAGTGAAACAGCTCCTTTGAAACAAGTTAACAAACCACAGTTGTTGGTGATCTAAAGTTTATTCAGCATATTAAGAAAAATCAAAACTTTAAGTTCTGGCGAGAGTAAAAGAAAACTTACACCTGCCAGTAGCTTAAAAGCCAGTTTAGTACTCAGAGCAACGGCGCGCAAATGGTGCCAAAAAAAGTCCAAATCCTGAAAAATTATAAGCAAACATCCAGTTACTCAGTAAGTATATTAGTTACTGCATTGCGCTTTTGGCAACACCGATTAATACATGCTCAACAAAAAAGTAAACTGAGGATTTCTGAAACAGTACTAAGAGGCGTACGACTACTATAACCTGGAAAAAAAAGTATATTTCTTCACAGATTGATTGGTGTTTGAAACAGTTTTCAGCTTAACCTCATTGCTGCATACGAAAATATATTTGCTCTCAAAACCTACTTACTACAGTCAAGTGGAAAATGAAGGCAGCTAGAGACCAAAAATTTTTGCCATTTCATAGCATACAGGAAATAATCACTTGTTGTCAAAGGTTCTGAAGAAATTTGTGAAAATTGAAGTTAGTGTTTTTACACTATATACCCTTTTAAAACTTGGAAAAAATCAACACACTGCAATAAAAAGGAAGCTGTATAAAAAGGCAGTTACAACTGGCTGCATACTTCAAGGCTATCAAAATTGTAGTTGTAGATGTCGTATTGCTCAATAGGCATCGTTACGTTAGCATATCCTTCCTCTGATGTACTAGTATCCCGAAGCGTCCCTGATTTTGTGATAAAATAGAATTGCTGGAAAACAAGTTATGAAAATGTTATACGCAGGAATTAAGTTATAGTTTACAAATATTAACAAATGAATTGCAAATAATTTATTCAATGACTCACAGAATTCGTAGTAACTACTTTTTTCGGATTAGCAGCTCGGCCCAAGCGTGCTAAACCTAAACCACATAGCGTCAACAAGTGATGTTCAAGCTAAAATAGGAAGTTCACAGAAGTCGAATGCGAGGAAGATGACATATAAAACCTAACAACTTAATATAAATCTTGGTTCAAAAAAGCTGAGTAATCTTTCAGGAAAAGAAAAAAAACTTACCAACACCAGGACACCGGTAAAAGAAATTATGCAAAGACTCACCTGTCTCATTAACAACTTATCTTCCAATAACTGCAGACGAATTTTGCGTGGTAGATCGTTCAATAATGTGTGACGACGAATAGGGTCTTTTAAATACTCTGCTACTTCAGGATACTAAATTCTAGTAATATCGAATAGGAAAACAAACAAGAAATTGTTAACCAAACAACAATGAGGGAAAGACAAGCTGACATAAAATAATTTTAAATAAACCTTAGATTTCCGTTTGGTCAATAAGGAGTAAACTGATAATGGTAGAACATTTAGCAGGTCCTGAAGCATAAACCAACCACGTGGTACATCAGCGAACTTCGGCATCGGTGGTACAAAACGGTACGGAGTCTCTTCATCAACGTAAACTGGGCAAGCCTCCAGAGGGGTACCATCGTCATTGTCCCACGGTTTGCCCGGAGGAAACCTGTAGGTATACCAAAAAGAGAAGTCAAATAATTTAGGTACAGTTACACGTTAACAAGCAAACTAGCATTGAAAATCACCACAAAAGAAGTAATAGAACGACTTTGTTGAAAAAACCATACACGAGCATAGTTTTAGAAGAACTAATCTAAAGTAAAAAAATGCACTTTTGGCAAAAACCATATTACACTAATTACCAGAAGTGCTATCGTTTTAAAGCACTAAACAGTACGCTGTTCCAGTGCCAGAGAAAAATGTGAAAAAACTCTATCTTGAACTTCATGCGAATTTTGGTCTCCCGTACTGCCGAAAATTTTTAAATTTGCGTGTTTTAAACGACAGAACTTCGACAAAAAGTTTCAACGTAGGTTAATGGTACCAGTATTCAAAAAAAATTTGAACGAAAGTTATCCTGCAGTTCTACCCCCCGGACAATTGACAATTTTAAAGGTACCACCACTAGGAAATGATTTTCATTTAATAGGAATCAAACGCTTTGTGTCAAGAAATCTGTTTCAGCCCGAATTCTCAAAATTGTTAAAGGCTCACGACAAAACTATTGATAGAGCGGGTTCCTGGACTGGCACTTCGATGTAAGACTACGTAATAGCAATGAATTAGCGCAGAAGATATCGCACTTTACAAAAAAGAAGCAAACCTTTCAAAAAAAGTTGGTTTTTCCATTTGAAAACGACCGCGTACAAAATGGAAAGCTAATTTGTGGACTGCGAAGCAACGATTCCACTTGCTCTGACGTCCGTAAGCGACATCAGCATCTATTCTTTGTGAGGATCTTGCTTGAATTTTCAGCTCCGCTGTTCCAGAAGTAGAAGTGTTGAAGTCCACTGCTTTTGACTTCTCAGCACTACTGACTGCTGGTGCTTTTCCAGGAACAAAGAAGTTAGCAGAATCTACTGCTTCTGTCTCCTTCACTCCACGACCTACCAGCTCCTTTTCAACGACAGTGGAAGTAAAAGAACCTTCTTTCCTCCCACCTTCAGCTTCAAGCGGTAACCCTTTCCCCTAAATAATTGTTTCTGGGATTCAAAATTTGTGCTAAACAACTGTAGAAAAAAATGAAGGTAACTATGGGAAAGAGAAAATAACAAACCATTGAAGTTTGAGAGATAGAGCCAGTAGGAGTTTGAATGATAGACGCTGCGCGTACGTTCTGAAGCCTTAATAGAGACATGCGTTTTTCAATAGTCAGATTGTCGATTTCATTTTCAAGATATGCCTAAGAAAAAATTGCCGTTAAAGAGAAATGAGAGCCTGATGTTGCAGTCAACAATAAAAGTCACCAGCTCTTCGTCGCAGTCTTTCCCTATCCCGCTCTTCTCCTCCTGAGTTGTATCAGACTCTCTTTTGATATACCTAAAAGATAAAAAAAAAAAAAACAAAATTTCTTAAAAACTATATTATGTAAGAAAGATCAAAAATTTACCAAACCTCAATTGCCCGTTGGGGAAAACCCGACCGCTCTCATGGAACTCATCTATAACGATTCGAATCGCTCGTAACACTTCAGGATTGGAAGCAGAATCGATTCTACTATCACATATAATCCTTATCTAAAAAATATATAGTTTCGAATAAAAAGGGGCCTTTTAAAAAACATTCAAGAATGTAATATCGGCCGGCCTTCCAGTAACTTTCTTAAACTAATTCAGAGACAAACCGTATTTTGCACGTTCTCATCTACCACTACTGTCTCCAGTATTTTGAGCAAATTTTGCTTCTGCAAAGCCAATAAGCATTTCATAATAGATTTCTTGTCAATCTGCAAAGGTGATAAACGATCAAACTGTAAGAGTACACACTAGGAACTTTGATGGGAAATAGCAGTCAACGCTACTAAAACAAATTCAAATAAACAACTCACTTGATATTTACTTCCGTACGTCTTATCGACTTCAACCAAAATTTTGACGAACTTAGACATAGTTACTATTATTGGATTCTTTTTAATTATATCCACTATGTCAATTAGCCTTCTGAGTGTAACATCGCTAACACGCAAAGTACCTAGAATCATTTTTACCCCACAACTTTTCCATAATACCGAAAATTTTTAAAAGATGCAATTAGAAATGGTTAAAAGTGATTCCCAGAAGTATTCCCGCTATAAAAAACCAATTTCCCCTCTTCTCTCCTCCATAATCAATTCTACCATTGTGCACATTGTAAAACTAAACTCTCTTCATCACAAGCCAAAATATAAATTAGCACCACCGATGGTAGTGCGTTTGTCCGGCAAAAAAAGCAAACAAGTTGTGAGTTTTTAATGTAGTGAGCGAAACGAAGTAAATAAAAGCCAACAACAAAACAAAACCATAAATAAAATATAACTTATAGATTACTTAGTTTTGTGCCAGGAAATTTAATGACTTGTCCCATTTTGAACGGGCATGAAGTTCCAACCAATTCCTCCCAACGTGCAAAAAGTCTTTTAAAGTTTTCCGGTCGTGAAGCAACCTTCCAGTAATATCTGAAATTTTTAAACGGTAAAAATGTTGCAAGTAAAAAAAATAACTACCTGTTAGGTAAGTGAAAAAGAAATACAACTTACTTAATACATCTAAATTTACCCTCCATTTTCTGGAACTGCCCAAAATACTCGGGAAAAGCTTTTAAAGAGTTTAATATGTGTGTCGAAACTTTTCGGTTGCCGGATTTTGTTCGAGTGTCGACTCCGTAAGTCTGACCAATTTCAATTCGTCCAGTTCCTTCGCTGCCTGACTGTCTAATTGAAGCTGCTGTAAGGTCACCCATGGTCCTGTATAGGTACAATGGAGACCAAATGTCAGGTTCAAAGGGTAAGAAAGGTCCAGCCTCTAAATCGGACAGTTTTTCAACGTATATAAAAAAACGTCCATAGAGTACTCAAAACAGGCAAAAGGCCAATGCATCAAAAAACTGACAAAGAACAGCGCTTAGAGTTAAAAAATTTCAGAAAAAAACAAAGAAAACTTACTTGAAACATTACTTTGCTTGGGATCCGAATTATCCGTAGCCTGAAAAATTTGTTTAACAAGTATATGCCTTCAAAAAAAGCTCAATCAACAAAAAAATTTAAAGCCTACTTGTTTTCCGGCACTGCTTTCTTTACCGGTATCATCATTAAAAGAACTTCCCTCTTCTTCACCTGCACAATCTCCATTTCCCGCTGACGCAGGAACAAGCTTCTTCTTTTTCCTCGGCGGAGTCATAACTTAGGCATCAGTTGAAATACCACTTCCAGTGGGCCAGATGTTCACGAAATAACGGCATTCATCAGAGTATACTCACTACAAATATGTTAGTTAGGATAGAAAGCCTCACAGTAAACACCGATTTAACAATTACAACAAATAACATTTAGCAAAATAAAATATTTTAAAGTGAAGCATTCTATCATTATAAAAATTATTACTGTAACTTAAACCAATTATCTATCAGAAAACTGAAAACAATTTTGAGCAATGACTGTTAGTGTTAAAACCTTCAGTAGCTAATTAACTGCTGAGCAATCAAATTTAACATCTTCAGCCTTGTCTTTGTGCTAATCAGTTTTAAGCATCCGGAAAGGAAAAGCAAAAATGTAAAAAAGAAGTCCAACCTTGCCATATATATCTGGACTTGTGCCGATTTTGAGGAAATAAGCGTTTTAAACAACCTGCGGATAATGAACAGACTTAGTCACATGTAAACTTCATTTATAAGGTGTGAATATGTCTGGTTAAAAATCAACAACAAAGAAAAAAAAACACGTTTTGTACATTTCGGGAAACAAACACCCTATAGATTGAGTCTTCCAGTAAGTTTCAAATTAGATAGAACAAAAATGTTTTGATACACTCAATTATAAAGACCAGCTGGTCAAAGTTTAACAACATCCTTATGAGTAATATATCCAGTTAATACCACTACAGCAATCAACAGCCTCAAAAATAGGTACTTTCTAATAAAACCCCTGAAAGCGGCTGAAATTAATGAACATTTTCTGTATAACTACGTTCCCCAAAAGACCTCCCCTAATTATATCTCAATTGTTCCGACCCAGTATTTTACCAGAGTGCTATTACCAATGTATTTAGTCTAACAGATAGCGCACTGCAAAAATTTTCTACTTTTGTCTCTCAGCACTATGGTTTGGTTCCACATACATATCACTCTTTCAATTCTTGACCACTATATTCAACCCACCGAGGCAATGACACTTATTTGCACAGCTGTCAACTATGAAAAGTTCGGTACCCGTTACACTCTCTCCAGCATCAACTATTGTTGCCTAATGAAACACCATCGCCCAGTAAATATCATGTTCATCAGTCCAACGAAGCAGCCAACTTTTGATGCATAAGACTTGTTATTTTGCAACTAATAAACTGTCTTCACGCTTCTTAACCGATAAACCATATAAAACTGCTTTTGTTAACACAAAATTACAGCAATAATAAACTGTATATCGCAGGAAAAAAAAAAACATTCTTTGTAAGAATTAAAGTTGTTATTAGCCTTAGAAATATAAACAAAACAATAACTATTTCATGCAGTAGAATGACTGTTGCTAACAAAAAACTAAAGTTTAAAAAGGGTTCAGAAAAAAAGAAAAACAAACGAACAAATGATTATGAACTTTAATATACCGATCATATAATATACTAAACACAGACACAAAGACACACACACACGCACACACACACACACACACATAAGACAAATTTATGGATTCTTTTTGGCCTGGTTGAAGCATATAGCCGAATAACTTCGCCAAATGCTTTTTAGAGCAGACAACTCCGTATGACTGTCATTGGCATTTGAAGAAACGATGAAGCCAACAATACCGATCTTAACGCCAGTCAGCAGTGCTGCAAAGAATCTCACAGTTGGCAAATTTCCAGCTTTTTGAAGTTGCGGAAGATTTTCTCTCCGTTTTTTCGTGTTTTCTCCCTTAATTGGTTACACTGCAATAAACTTTGTTGTTTCAGATTTGTAAACTGTAGCGGACATTCTGCGACAACTGTTGCAGTTTGGTTAGTCAAAAAAAAAGAAGGAAAGCAGAATGAAGTGTGTTATTAAGGAAAAAAAAAATAAAAAATTGTACATTTTAATATTTGTGAAAAATTTCCTTTCTTTTTTGATTGGATCTGGTTTACTTATGAAAATTAGTTCTACGCTTTAGTTGTATATACGTGGACGGATCCAATCCATATTCGATTACCATTCAAATTTCATCTGCTTATTGTTGTTGTTGACTTTACTTTGCCTTATCGATTTCCATTATGTATCTGTATTATATAATCAAACAAATGAGATGTAAAAATTTTTGGCACATTAACTTAGAATTGGACTCTTCAATATATTATCGCTGTATAGAAAAAAAGTATGTTGATAAGAGCCTTCTTCAAGCATTATTTTTAGTATTTGATTTATTCGATGCCTTTTATATTATAATATTATTAGCATTATCATTATTTGTTTTTTACATATCAATAAGCAACTAATATGTTGAGGATTTTTTAGTGTTCAAATCACCTATTTATATT